ACATTTCTAACAAGAATCAGCACTAACAGATTCTGGTTCTCTTCACGGGGCAACAAATGCTCTAACCATCTATTGCATTTTTTTCAGTAAAATAAGCCTGAAGTCTATGTTAAAAAAAAAAAAAAAAAAAAAAAGTACACATGGAAGTCATGAAAGTAAAAGCAAAGACAAGGAAACAACACACAAAGTAATTACAGGTAACATCATTGGGGAAATATCAAAATCCTTCAAGAATATAAAATCCTTCAAGGCCAAAGAAATTACAATGTTTTTCAATAAGGAATGGTATGAACAAGAACCTAACACCAGAGAAAGCTGACCAGGGATTTGCAGCAATTAGAGATTAATTTTATCCTTTCAGAGAAAGACAAAGTCTTCCACGATATCACTGTAACTGAAAAAAAAAATAAAAAATGTCATAGAATGAAGGTAGAAAAAGGCAATATCCAACTCTAATCCAGAGATCATATCCAGACACGATCTTCATTCAAAGAATAACCATTGAAGATAAAACAATGAAAAGAGCTATCTATGAATTTCAAGAACTGAAGAAAGTATCAGAAACCAGCCACTACAATACACTCTGGGACACCCTGATGGGTAACATTTTATTAAAATTTCATTTACACCTTACACAAATACATACAGAAGAAGACTACAGTTTTAAGGAATGTTCAAGAAGAGAAAAAAGCAGTATAGAAGAAAATGGTTCCTTTTTGATGGTGTCATCAAGTTAAACACAGAATATACAGATAAATACTACACATACATCTTGTATACATACAACACCATCCTATAACACTGGTTTAAAACCTTTTTGTTGTTGTTGTTTTGTTTTTGTGGGTTTTTTTTGTTTGTTTGTTTTTGGAAGTCACCCTAAAATTCTCACGGTGGAAATGTGAATACCTAAAAAAAAAAAAAAGCCTACTGCATAATTTATTTTGCTGACTGATTTTTCATGGATTTATTAAGAGACAGACCTTACATTCACTGCGAGTAAAACAAGTTGGAAACTGTTACGTTGGAATACCTTTTTCGGACAAGATCACTCTAGAATTCACCACGCCAGTAAGCAAGGAAGATTTTCTCCCTGCCACCTAAGATCCTTGACTAAAGTAGTCATTTTAAATTTAATTAAATACATAAATAAAATTGCCAGGAATAAAAGTAGTGAACCTGGGTACTTGTCTTGGCAGAAATTAGCAGAGAAAAATGGACGACGAACTACATTAGCCATATTCCATATACTACACAAGATCTGATGGCCAAAAACACAGATTAAAAATTAAATTTTCAAGTTGCTTTTCCTTCCATTAAAATGCATACGTTAAAACTAGAAATCTCACAAATGTTTAAGGAGATTGCTAAGTTCTGCCAAGACAGACACCTCTTCCACAGCAGTAGGTATAAGATGGAATTTTAGGGTGGGTTTTTTTTTTTTTTTTTTTGGCATAAGTGCTGAGATACAGTGGAGTTCACAGCTTGTCACCTCAAGATCTACAGAGAAAAGCAGATGGTGATACTTTATATGATTTAAAAATGAAACTGGAGCACCTGCCATGACACATGTTTTCTAAGGTATATAAGAAGAAAGTGTTAAATGGCCTGCAGAGAGGGTAGATTTCTGTGTCGTTAAGATGCCTTCAAATGACAAGCAAGGAGGGATGGGGAATACAGAACATGCAAGAAAGGTGGAGAAGTGCTCAAGCCCAATTACAATTTTCAGCAGCAAAATAAATTCCCATGTCAATTTGTGTGATTCTTTCTTTGTTAAGGAGTAAGACCTTACAATTCCACTGAATTACTATGGACTCATTGGATTGAGCACTGAAAAAAGAAAAGGCAAAACAGTCATGGAAAATATAGTGTTTTACCTGATACATTAACTCATGTCACTACTGAGCTTTATTAATTTTTATTTATGTACCAATGTGTTTACTTACTTAAGGAATCGCTGCTTCTAAACAAAAAGTATGAAGACATAAGATTACATTTTCAATGGTATCAACCACCAGAGATATTAACAAAATTCTGAAGTATTTAACAGTGAAAACCACAGTTAACTGCTGCAATTTTCTAATATGGACATAATTAAAGCTGCAAAAAGTGTCTGTTTTCCTTTCAAAACAAATATCTGTCATTACGGGATTTAACAGCTATCTGTGTTGATAAATGAACAACTTGAACACAGATATGTCTTGCATGACTGAATATCCCAATAGATTCATGCCCCTAAATCAAGAAGATTTTGAAAACCCAACACATCATGTAAAAAGCTTCAATGATTAAATGAAGCACTATTTCTCAATCTTTCTTTCACAATTAATGACCTACAGAACCTTCTTGGTTTTATTTAAACTGACCTGAAAGAAACTAAGAATCAGCATCCTTCACCTACTTGGGTACAGAAGTGAGCATCCAGAGAATAAAATCAAAATACTGAATTGCCATTCTAGAATATGGGTCAAAGCAAGACATTTAACTTTGTATTTTATAGAGTAAAACAGTTGAACTAGTGAAAAATTGCTTCAGAGGAAAAGATATTTTAGAGTTGACAGCACATGGCAACTTCCCTTATTGTATTCCTAAATGTATAAAATAATTTAATTTGAATTGAAACATATTATTGATACATGAAGACAACAGTGTTTATATTTCTTCCCCAAAGAAATCATTTGAAGACATTATGCTTCCTTAGGAGGAAAAAAATATATATATGATTCCATTTAGCATACCAATGAAATCAGAGGGGAAGTCCTACTGAAGGACTAACTCTCCTTAATGCCCTTATTCTCCCTTCATTATGCCATCGATGTCCCATGAAAACAACATTAATTTGACATGGATGAGTTATGACCCACTGTTTCCTGCACAACCAACAGGATGCCCAAGGCAGGGTTTTCTACTTTGGGTATTGGGGCCAGAAAGACATGCATAAAACCAGCACAGTAGAAGGAGCAATTAAGCTACAGGTTGTTTTGCTGTAAGCAGTTAACCAGCTGTGCCTAATAAATTATTTGATTATACAACATCCTATAGTTTTGACATCAGTGGTAACCATGCATAAAACTAACATTCGGGGATTTTGTATATTTGCACGTGTGATTATATCAGTAATTCCTCCTGGCACTCATTAACAGACCCTGCCAATCCAGCACTATTGTTTTTTTCCATGCAAATGGTCAGCTTGCTCACAACAGCTTGAAAACACTGGCTAATAAAATACCACAACCCTGAGAAGGAAATGGGAAGTGTTTATTACTCCTATTTGCCGACAAGAAAAGAAACAGACCTGTGCAAGGACATGTGCACACAGAGCAGAACTAAATAAAAGAGTAAAACTGAAGTGTGCAGAAACATTGTATGTATATATACAATGGGCATACTTGCATGTACATACAAAAATGTACAAAAACTTACTTCAGTAGGGTTAAAAAATATAACCAAGAAACTCTTGAACTACAAGCCTGGCATGGATATTTTTGTGCGTGGAATTCCATGCTAAGGTACACATACTGTTTCTGGCACCTGCACTACTTTGACCAGTGGGTTTCCATCATCTCTTCATGCTTGGGAGCTACAGACATTGCATTTCCCAGTCCTACACTGCTTCCACGCTATACTGCTTTCTCACAAAAGAAAGAGAAGTTTGAGCTGATGTAGTGGGTTTATGTGGCAAGGTTTTGGTAGCAGGGGGCCCTAGGGGTGGTTTCTGTGAGAAGGATCTAGAAGTTGCCCCATATTTGGTAAGGGCCCCACTGCTGACCAGAGCCAAGCCAATAAGCGATGTTGTTTTGTGCCTCTGTGAGAGCATATTTAAGACAGGGAAAAAAATGCTGTGCCACACAGCAGCTGGGAGAGTGAGAGGAGTGAGGAACAGCCTTGCAGGCGCCAAGGGCAGTGAAGAAGGAGGGGAGAGGTGCTCCAGGCGCCGGAGCAGAAGTCCCCTGGGGCCTGTGGTGAGGACCATGGTGAAGCAGGATGTCCCCCTGCAGCCCATGGAGTACCACGGTGGAGCAGGGTTCCACGCTGCAGCCCGTGGAGGAGACCACGGTGGAGCAGGTGGCCCTGCACCGACGGAGGCTGCCGCCTGTGGAAGACCCCTGCCGGAGCAGATTTCGGGCCGGATCTGTAGCCCGTGGAGAGGAGCCCACGCAGGAGCAGGTGACCTGGCAGGAGCTGCTGCCCGTAGGGGAGCCAGGTTGGAGCAGTGTGTTCCTGAGGGATGGACCCCATGGTATGGACCCATTTCTGGAGCAGTTCTGGAAGAGCTGCTACCTGTGGGAAGCCCACACGGGATCAGTTCATCAAGGACTGCATCCCATAGGAGGGACCCCACAGCACAGGGGCCGAGAGTGACCAAGAAGGAGCAGCAAAGAAGTGCTGTAGACTGACCATAACCCCCATTCCCCTGAGCTGCTTGGGGGGAGGAGGTGGAAGAGGGTGGATGGGGGGAAAGGTGCTTTTGGTTTCTTTCCTTTGTTTCTCACTTCTCTACCTTGTTAGTAATAAGCAATAAATCTTACTATCTCCCTATGCCAAGTCTGTTTTGCCCATTACAATAATTACTGTGTGATCTCCTTGTCCTTAATCTCAAACTTTGAGCCCTTTTCATTGTATTTTCTCCCTGTTCCTCTTTGAGGAGGGGGAGTGAGAGAGCAGTTGTGGTGGAGCTCAGCTGCTGACTCGAGCGGAACCACCACAGCTGACAAGAAAACCAGATTTCACAGTCTTGTACAAACATGAATGCACAAACACTGCAAGTCTAAACAGCCACCCCCCTTGACCATGTCCATTTCCTAACAAATGCTGGCAAATGAGTTCTCTTCATAGCAAGGAGGCACATTCTCATGTGGCCAAAAAGAACCACAGAAAGCAATAATTGTTCTCTATTTAAAAGTTTTAGCCTTCCAGTGAGGACCCAAAAACTGTCAAGATGACTTTGATGACCACCATACATCACATGCAACAAAACAGTGAAACGAGCACTTCTTAAAAAATTCAGACAGCAATTCATAAACTATTTAATGCCAGATTATGAATAACAAATAGATGAATGTAAATTCTTTTCTCCATGGATAATACATGTACAAAAATGCAAATTTTTCAGGATAAATTATGCACAACGAATGAGTCAATCAGCCCTATTCCCTCATAGGCCACTATTTCCGGAAGCTATTTTAAAGTGAAACAAAATTGGTGAAATTGTATCATCTATTTTTGTATACAACAGGAAAGCACACGATAAAACCCTTCTCTATTCCCTTTATTAAAGCATTCCATGAACATGAATGGCAACAATGAACATAAGCAGCAGCTGTAATTGATACTGCAGTGAAAGCTAAATTGCACATTGGTGGATTTGGCTAACATCACAAATTTCAGTAATTGTGATCAGGCAGTTAATAACAAAAGATCTCATTTATTAAGTGATATTAACAGACATTTGAACAAAACAGCCAGTTTCAGAATTCTGTCAGCACCATGTAAAATACCTGATTGTTCAGTGACTTTTCCTAAAAGCCAAACCTCTGTAATTCCCTGGAGCAGTTACAATCAGGAACTACCATTGTGAAAAAGGTGTATCATTGAGAGCTGCTGTTCCCTGACCTCCAGGCCAGCTGCACTTCCCATGACTACAGAACTCCTCCTACTTGGAGGAGTTTAGTTCTCCTGGACAACAGGGAGAAAAATATCGCTGAGTTTCTTTCCCCTCTGCTCCATGGGCTAGGATTTTAGCCTACAGACTTTGATGCACACTATAAAAAATAGTAAAAACAGTTGTAGACACCAACTCTCTCTCAGCAGAATAGCCCTTTCTCTGATTCATTTCCAAAACTGGAGCAAGACCTGATAGAAGGATTTTTCTGATGAAAGAATGGTCATGCACATAATAAAAACAGGCAAGAGGCTCAGAACTCAGCTAAACTGGGACATTGAACCCACCAGTGGTTCACACCCTCCACATAAAATGGTACCAAGTTTCATAATTTCCAAACATTTTTAGCAACTACAGTTATATCAGGATCAAGGAGTAAATTAGAAGGAAAAAGTATCTAGTGGTAATATTTTACAAGCAAACACTTATTAAGCTAGTCCCTTCCATCAACTGTATACAAGTTAAGAAAAAAAGAGCCACCACAGACATGTGTTTTCTCAGGTATCATTAAAAGGTTAAACCAGACAAGCTCCCTGAATAGGGATCTAATTAGATCAAAAGGCTCAGCTCTAGAGATGTGACGTTGTACAGGCAGAGAAAGACAGGAGAGACTGTGCAACATTGCTTCTGTCAGTGACAGCTAAGTCTTCCAGACTGCTACAGATACTCACACGTGCATCCTGGTGACCTCATTTACCAATGAAACACCTCAGTTATCATACAAGGGGATTATCCATTGAATTCACACTGAAGTTAATATGGCCAAATATCTTTCCTGTCTTTTAGAGCTGAATCTTCACTTTCATGTAGCTAAGTTTTTTTCCCCTGCCTTCCCTTGAAATGGCATGGTTTACCTTAACAGTATGAAGTCGGCATTGAAGGGTTAAGAAAGAAACAGGGACGTAAAAGAGTTTGAACTAATCTAAAATAAATCCAATGCCTTTTTAAACAGGGAAAACAACATTAGTCCAAATTTAACTTTTTTTTCAGTACAGATTCACAGACAGACAACAAAGAGAACATAGATTCAACTAAAATGAAATGAGATTCAAAATCGCTTCCAGAGTTGGTGCTGAAAACAAAGCATGCACATGGGCGTACTAGGTTGCACTCTTGCAAGGCATAAACAGAGTCTGCAATAAACTGCTTGATGTTGTCTTGCTGGTCATAAAGCTATGAAAAAAAGGAATATGCCATTTTTTATAACACTTAAGGGCCCAATGCAATACAAAGTATAGCTGGCTTTCTAGTAATATATGTTTTGGGAGTAGATACCAGTGAATTTGAGTTTTATATGTGCTTTTGCGATACAGGACCTGAACATATTTTTTGTTGGATTAGACCATTAGGTAGCTATAGCTATTCTCAAAGGACAAGATAAGTGACAAGCCTTCTGAACCCCGGCAAAAATATAAATCACTACAAAAAGTTGAGAAATCCTTGATTTAACATTTCTAGTATTGAGAGATATTTTTGTATTCCTTTTCTACTTAACAGAAACATTAATGTTTTTAAAATTTTTAAAGAAATTTCTCTTCATATGGATGCAATAATACCAATATAACTCTATTAAATAAATGTTTGTTTCTTCCCACAGCTTTCAAAAGATAGAATAAAAAATGTTTTAAAGTATAGCTGAATCATCAGAATTAAAAAGAATTGTTGCCTTAAGCATGAAGAATATCATACACTTAGAATAAAAGAAATATTAAAATACTTCTACTTTATCTACTAACTTCTCAAAAGATATCTTCCCCATAAGAATTGTTATAAAAATGCTGAATCAAACAGCATCTATTAAGGATGCATGTTTTCATTTTCAGAAAGCCCTCTCTTTTCATTCCCTTTCTCTCTATTCTGTTTCTGAAGAGTATCATTTATTAGTACAAAACCTCTACTATCACATTTATTCTGACTACTTACACCTCTATTTCTCTACTCTGGACTTCTTTATTTGAACTGTTCATCTAGCATTAACTTATAAGTATTCAGCTCTGTAGGACAGTGTTCTTAATCTTTCAACTACTCAGTGCTTCCAGCTTTCTCCCTTTTGTAATCAATGCAAGCACCACCATCTTCACTTCTGTTATGCAGGGTTTCAAGCTGAGCATCATCTCCAGATCCTCATCATTTATGCTGTATACAAATCTTACCACTCGCTCCTGCAGAGCAACCCAGCTAAACCAACCTTTCCTATCTAGTCACCAAGCTGAAGCTTAGTCCAGTCACTTGTTATTGTGATGCCAGGTGACTGCAACATCTTTACGTCCCTGATGTAGTTAATCTGGCTCCTTCAAAATGATTTGCAGAAGATAGCCTTATTGATTTATTGCTTTGATTACACTGCCATTTTCTTTGACTTTAGTTCCTTTGGTTACCCACCTCAGATGCATCTCTATTCAAGACCCTCCCCCCTTCAAGACCCTCTGTACCATCCCACGTTCACTGCCCACAGACTCCTTCAGTTTTCATTAATGCTAGCTGTTCACAACCTGTTCGTAAAATTGCTTCTGACAAAACAAGCAACTTTTGTCTTTGCTACTTATCATTGTTGGAAAGACTTCTTCACAAGATGCTACAAAGATCTTTCAAATACCTTCTTAAGATCTTTTTGCATTGACACCTATGCACAGACAGGATATAAGGCTAAGTAAGAAAACTTCTGGCTTCCTTCCACTGTCCCATATGTTGATGTCCACATATTATTTCTTAGTGTACTGGGACAACATATTCTCTGGTGCAGGGTGTGTGTGTTTTTGTTTCACATGTATTGAATTCCTAACCCAAAGCAGCCATGTTCTTAGATAATAAAGTAACACAAATAATGAACAGTAATAATCTTAAACTGAATTCCTACATTTGTAATGCATGATTTTAGGACTACTACTTGTATTGTTCTAAACACTATATACTTGAGCAGATGCACATACATTCTCAAATCTGGACCTATTTAACACAAGTCTTTATACATTGAATATGAATATGAACATGTGATGAATTCCAGATAAGTTAAATATAACAACTTCACTATTAATGCAGCATTCCTCCTGAGTAACATGCTAATTATTTTTACCTACGGTAAACATAGGAAGTACAAATGATAAGAACATCACCAAAAAGGGCTTCTTTTTAGGATCGACATATTTGTGTTAAAAGCAGATTATTTGAAAACACGTTACTGAAGCAATATTCAATCAAAATGACTACTCTCAGCCATAAACATACGGGACCCTCTAAGTACCCAGGGTAATAAGTCTTGTATATTATTGCTGGGAATTCCTTCAAAGCCCAAATCATTTTTAGTTTGCAAAGCTCTCTAATTTATTTTCCATGGTTGGAAGGAATCTGCTGCTAAACTAAAAATACAGTTTTACCCCCCATTATCTCTGCACATAAAGAGTCACACAGCTTGAGGCTAGAATTAACATGAGATAGGCTATTATGACTGTAAGAACATTTAGCGGTCCCTGTTGACTTTGCAGTTTGTAATAATAAATATCCTCCCCATAATCTCTCACTTTTTTTTTCCCCCTAAACTTGATGCCTTGAGGAGTTCTTGAAGCTTGTGATAAAATACTAACAGTAGTTACCTATTTTGTTGATAGCATGGATTTCTGCTTCTCCTTGGGCAAAGTCATTTAAAGATATGGTATTTGCAAGTAAATGCTTTTAAAAGTATAACCCTTGATTTCATAAATGCCCTACAGAAACATGATGTCCTACTGTAGTTGATTACTGAAGCAAAACTAAATCTGCTTGTACAAAGTAATGTCACTATTTTATAATGAAGTGTTTCCTCTTTCACTAAGGAAGAACCTTGCAATCAGATGTGAAGGTTATAAAGTATGCAGCCTGCAACTCGAAAGAATCTTATCATCACCAATCAAGGTAATAATTAAAACCAGATTTCTATAAGGAGGGGCTAGACATTTAAAGGGTTTTACAAAGTATCACACTTCATGCACATGCTAAATGGTGCAGAGTACTTGTGCTATATTAAGAAGATGCTGAAATTCTCAAACTAACATGTAATCTTTTATACATAAGTGTCTCTATATACTTTGATATTCTGTCTCCATACAACACAAAACCTTATTTGCCTATATCACATATATTTAGGATTTTTTTTAACCCCATCACTACTACTATTCCTCTCCCCCACCCTAATTGTTTGCAAACAAAACATGTCCAGGAGTAAAAAATTAAGATGAAGACAACATCCTTCAAACATTCAGCATTCCAGATCACCAAAAGATCTTCAGCAGTAACTCTGCAGTAACATCTCACACTTAGGATACTACAGTTTAACTCATTCTCACTTTTTTTTTTTTAACCCAGAAGCTTGTTAAGTGAATTTAGTGGATTATCAGGCAAAATATTGATATCACAAACCCCTTCTCACATAAACAGACAAATTCAGTCTCCACAGATGTCACACAGTCCTCACAAGAACAAACTAAATCAAAACATGCTTCTATACCTACATATGTATTCCTCCTCTATCCTGCACATCTTGCATGCTATAGGTCACAGATGAATAGCAGCTCTTTGGCAATTGATTCATTTTGAACAGTGAAAGGAAGTATCAATTAAGTTATTTGTAAGATCAACGGTACACTCTCTGCTTCACATACATGCCCAATTCATCTTAAATTACTAAAAGACAGGAAGCAAAGACAGGAAGCAAGACTTTTAGATTCACTACACTCCTCAATATTTTTTAAAATTAATTAAAAATGTTGCATGTGTTTTTGTTTTGTTTTGTTTTGGGGGGGAGGTGGGGGACAATGAAAAAATTTAAGGATATAAACTATTTCCAAATAGATAATCCACTGATTGATCTGTAGCTCACTGATGTTCTAATCATAACCTAGCTTATTCTTACATTATTCTTACCAAACAGCAACTCTTTAGTCATTTGGAGATAGTTAAATAGTTGATATCAAATCTGTCTTAGTTTCTGTTTAGTTTCAGTGTTGCTGAGTTATTTCATACCTGTGCATTTGCTAGATGCAGCTCCCCCTCTCCTCCAATGAATGAGGTATTTTTCAGTTCTTGCGAGCTTTGCAGGAAAGTTGTCTAACCTGTAAGATGAAGGTGAGATGCACTGTATAAAACACTTTTTTTTTTTTTTTTTTTTTTAATATTTGCATACATAAATAAGTGATTTCATTTTGGACAAAGTAGGGGGAATGAATTTCATAACCATGATAGCAGACCAAACTTCCAGTATCTCCACTACTTCTCTCAGTCTTTATCCTCTCCTTTAGGTCCTCATTTATTCCTATTTTTTTCTGACTTTAATTTTCTTCACAAGTTTCCACAAAAACCTTTTATGATAGTAACCTAACCTCTCTTGCACTTTTCCAGCTCACCTTCTTCCCAGAGCTTCACAGCTTACTCCCACAGCATGCATTGCCACCACCTCCCTCCTCTGATGACACTATGATTTCCAAGTGTTACTAATGAGTGCAGTTAGAGATAGGATCATGACACACACACACACACACACACACACACACTTACTTACTTCAAGGGATTCATACACCTAAATGCAACCATAACATTCAGCCTGACTTTTCCATTTTGTCCACCTCCTAACTCAATCTACCTTCATATTACAAGGCATAAGTCACATTAGCCTTTACACAATCATCTCACAAACTCTTAAATGTGAAGGTGCTGTGTCTGTTTTCAGCGGAGCTTCTCTGTGATAAAGCAAAGCACGTGCAAGCCTTTGTGGGACTTGGAACACAGCCAGCTGCTGAAGCCCCAGAGATGCTTCTCTTTACAACTTTGTTTTATGCTATAAGCATTTCATACAACAATACATTTATACAGTTCTTTGATCATTTATCTTAGTCAGACTCCTACAATTTTCAGCTTACTCACTTCATTCTTTACTACACATGGCCTCATTTAATTTTCTTATATCTGCAGATGAGAAATTAGGCCCAGAAGAGATCAAATGGTACTGAATTTGGGTCATTATCCACAAAGCATCCCAAGACAGCCTGCCTTAGATCGCCAGCTTGCAAGGTTTCACTCACCCTAGCAAGGGAGGTAAAGACTAACTTGCATTAGACCAACTGATATAGTCAGAAAGCTTGAAAAGATTTCAGGCATAACCTTGAGAGCTTCTTCAAGACTTGTGTGCATGGAAGCTCCCTTCCCTTCCCTCCCAGTGTATAAGAAAAGTATTTTTCCAGATCAGCTGCAACATGGACTATCCTGGAGAACAGTAGGTAGAAGTGTTGCTTTACATGGGCATCTTCATATCAGCCATGTTTTTCTGAGCACTTGCTTTAAGTAGACTGAACCTAAGTCACCTGTTTTAAATTAACGATATGCTTAAATATTTTAATGGCCCACAGAAGAGCGTATACACACACAGATTAAGTAAATAAATAAATAAATCACTTTTTGCACTTTGAAGGTGTTTGGTTTCAAGCTAATACAGGATATCATACCATTCTTCTGAACCAGTGTTGTCGACTTGCTTTACTCTGTCTTCAACAAACAGAAAATAAACAGCCACTTCTTCTGTTTGCTACTGATATTTGCATATGGTCATGAAGGAAGGGTTATTCATTTCATCTGATTGATTTTTAAAGTTTGATTATAGCATAAAAGACTAAGTTTATATATTTCAAATAGACCTTGAAACAGGACATTGAGAATCTACAGGCAACATTGAAGTTTATGCATTAATCTTTTTAAGAGATAAATTCAAGGTCTTCTCAGTGTATGGTACCATAACAGCAATCAGGTTTGGAGCACACACATACACACACAAAAAAAAAAAAACACTTGGCAAGCAATAGCTCAGACGTACTTTATTTTATCACAGTCATGAAGTCTATTATGGACAGCTTTGTTTCTCTCATCACAAGAAAACATTCACGAAGAAATATTATGGAAAAGTGCTTTTCTGGTCTCATAGCTAATTAACTCATTTTAAGAGTGGCCTGTAGTTAAGCTGCCCAGACTTTCTCTCAGGAAAGTGGGGAACTGAGCGTCAATTACAAGGTCTCTCCTCCCCTTCATCTGTGCGTTTTTAAAGCCAGAATTTCAGTTTTGCTTACTAACTCATCCCTGACTGATTTGACTGAACAGATAGTAACAGATGCAAAGGAATAAACTTGCAAAGTGTATTTTACCTACTTTACAGTGAATTGTTAAATTCCCATAGTATTTATGTGATGAAGCACGACCTGAATTTTAGGCTAGCGCAACTAGATTAGAAGAACAACTAGCACTAAAAGGCCATGCAGAGAACAAAGAAAACTTGCTGTTTGGAATTAAAATCAGTACTTCCAGAAAATTAAATAGCACTGTCAGAAAATATGTAGCTTATAGCTACATATGCCCACATAAATCTTTACACTGTTATTATAACATTCCAGTAGATTCACACAGGGTTATAAAAGTGTGGTTGATGAGGGTACCGCCACCATAAACTTACAGTTCTTCCCCAGGTTAGATTTATATCCAGCTATCAAAATAGATTACAGTTGCCTGTTTTTCCTTACAGATTACATTTTAAGAAGGACCAGCAGTTTCATGGGAGGGAAGGCATGCGCAGCTAGCGTTCAAACTGCCAGCTCTGTGTTTTCTTCAGTGCAGTGTTAGCTCCAGCGTGCTGTTTTTCTCCTAATTAGTTGGAGCGTACATAGCTAATCGCTAACGATAAAACCACAGCTAGGTATGAGCCACCTCATTAAACATTAAGGCTTGCAATCAGACACCGAAACCCACGAGAATTTTCACTTTTTCCCCCTCACTGTCGCGCCCCGGGGCAGCCGCGGCCCCTGGCGGAGAGGGGACCGCGGCCGCCCCGAGCCTCCCCAGTTCGGGGCCAACTCAGCCACAGCGCCAGCTCCGAGCCGGGGCCACCTCATTCCCATTCCCATTCCCATCCCCGTCCCCATTCCCGGTCCCGTTCCCGGCCGGGGAGGCGTGGAAGATCCGCGGCCCGTCCCCGTCCCCGTCCCCGTCCCGCCCCTCGCCGGCGGTGAGGCGGAGCTGGGTGAGCTTGCGGGGCCCGGCCGCTTCCTGGTCACCGCAGCAGGAGGAGGCTGACGGAGCCCGCGGAGGCCATGGCCTCGCTTTTCAAGAAGAAGACCGTGGACGGTGAGGGGGCGGCTGTCCCCGGCCCTTGTAGGGGCCCTGGGCACGGGGGAGCTGGGACCGAGCAGGGCGGCCTCGGGCCCCGAGTCCCGGCGGAGCTGGAGCTCGGGGGCTCGCCGAGCACAGGGCCCCGCATCCCGTCTGGGGGTGCCGGGAGGTAAAGGGGGGACACACGCATGTCGCTGCCCCGGGGGGAGCCAAAAATGCCTGCGGGGAGCTTGCTGGAGCAAACGGGGAGGCGGCTGAGTGCTTGTGGGGTCGGGGAGGAGACGGGGGGCAAGGGTCTTGGGACAAGTTGGTCTCGTTGTTGGCGTGGCTGGGCTGTTGACAGATCTGTGTGTGGGAGTCACCTTCTGGAAAGCGAAGCCAGGAAGGATCGCTTACCTCCCGAGTAAGTCCAGGGCACGCCAGGCAGCCCCCCAAGGAGGTATTGTTGCCTCATGCAACACCTGGGGCAGAGGCCAGGCATTGGCAAGAGCCCCAAAACTGGCTGTGTGGTGTGTTGGGTGTCCTCTGTCAAATCATGTGAGGCTTGGCTTGAGAAGTGCTCACCAAAAATGACGCTGCGCGTCAGCCAATTGTTGTTCACCAGGGATGAGTACGTAGTTCCCACTTGTTCCTTCCCATTTCTGGCGCACAACCTGCGAGGGGGGAGAAGGAGGAGATGACTGTGCTCCCATGGCCAAGGCGGGTGATGGTGACGGCAGCCAGGTCAGGGCATCTCTGGTCCAACCAGTTCTCAGGAATGGAGGCGCGTCCTCCTTGCCCCACTGTGCAGGAGCAGGTGCCACAGGGGGATGGCCGTCGGCAGAGGGCTGCCACAGAAATACCCCGTCATCTTCTTGCTGCTGGAGCAGAGCTAGGGCTTGGGTTTTTGTTCAGAGTGCTCGTCTTGTCCCTCACTTGCAAAAATAAATGAAAGGGATTGAAGGTGATCGAAGGCAACTGTTCTAGTTGGTTTATTGCTATCTTTAGCTTAAGCCATGATGTGAGATCAGAGAGAGGGAAGAAAAAAAAGAACAAAACAAAACTCAGAAATAAGCATTGTGCTAGCCCTTATTGTCTCCTGACAATTATATTCTGAGTTTCTTATTGTCTTGAAGTTCCTACTTCTCAAGTTTTCTGCGCTAAGGGGATTTTTTTAATAGTTACTTCAGTTAGAGAAGACAGTCTTGTATGTAGCTATTAAGCCTTTTCTTTCATTTTCACAAGTGCAGCTGTGCAAGTAATATACGATTGATACCTTCAAAATTACTTGCCTGTAGCATTTTTTTTTCAGAATAATTCTCAATGATGCTTTGCTCATGTGAAGAACGTAATGTTATGTTCTGTATCACCCTTCAGCTTTTCGTGAATGTCCATTGAAAAGTCTGCATTTCCCAAAGATGATTTTTATGTAGTTCTGGGAACAGGGGTAACTAGCACTATAAAAAGAAGTCTTCTTACAGAGTTCGTTTGCAATATGCGTTTATTTGCTTGAAAATGATTGTTGGGAGGGGGTAATGCATTTTCAAAATAGTACTGAAGGTTGTTTGGTTTCTTTTTGTATTATTTTTTTTTAATTTGAACCTGTTAAGTTTGAAGTTATTTCAGCCATGGATGTTTTACAGTATCTCTTAATGTGAGGAAACAGAATCTGAATGCCTCTTTGTTTCTAGAAAAATAGTTGCAGGCCTTAACAACTGAAAAGGGTGGTTGTGTATCAACAATTTATCCTTCATGCCATCGTTTCTGTTAGTAACTGTGCCTGTTTGCATTGATTTTTCACGTGCCTCAGACTCTTTTAGTACGATGGCAGAATCCCACTATGATGTTCCTTCCATGGGTTAGACACAAAATTTACATGACAGTACACTCCTGTTAACCTTTCATCCAAAGTTTATGCATCTAATAGTAGATGCATGCATTAGGAATAAATGAATCTTTCTAACAGTGTTGTTTCCTCTATAAAGGTCAGAGGATGCTGAGTCACATGCAGACCTCTCTACCTTTGCCCAGGTGAATCACACCTAAGCACTCACTGTAAATTCTAACAAAAGTTAATTGCAACCAGTATGACTGACACCTATATTAAAAGTAATACTTACTTTTAGTAAGTGGATGTTACCAGGAAAAAACTTTTAAATAGCAGAGTGGACAAAACATTTATGAAAGATGATATACTTCATGTGATAGCATTCAAGTTTCTGTATGCTTTGTCAGCTGTCAGAAAACTTAAATTTGCTGTAAAGGCCTCCACTTTTGTACCTAAATATTCTTAGGATTCTATTAATTGAAAAAGTTTGTAAATTATTGCTTCATAGTCTAATTTGAAGTTGAGCTGTATAGATGTAGATGCACATTTATGAAGAAAAATAACCTCCATTAAACCAGAATGAGGACAGAGAAGAGCAAGATTCTAAGATTCACATTGCAAAGTAACTTCGCTGTTTTCATGGACCTAAGAACTCCAACTTCTCTGAGCTCTCATATATTAGGTTTCTTCAGCTGACCTCCTTGCAGTTGGGTCTGAAAAGGTCTGAGCTTACAGTGACAATGTTAATTCTGAGATATTCTTGAAACTTGCGAAAAAGTGTGCGTATCTAACCCATGCCATGGGGCTAAGGCTCTTCCTGTGGTGCAAATAAATATGCTAGGTAAAATAGCCTTTTTGTTACTGCATATGGCCTATTCTGTTGAAACATAATTGTGTTGCATACATTAAATATGGGCAAAATACAAAGTTAGGTATTTGAGATACCAGCAGTTCTTTTGATTTCTGGCTGTTCATTCTGAATGAGAAGAAACTGTGTCTGCAGAACACTCAGCAAATGAGATGTTTATATAATACTGAAAACCTTTTTCTATCTGTATTTTCTTTCCAGATATAATAAAGGAGCAAAATCGAGAGTTAAGAGGTACACAGAGGACTATAACCAGAGATAGAGCAGCACTTGAAAAACAGGAAAAGCAACTGGTAAGTACAACAGGGAATTTTATTTTACTCTTTAAAGACAAACACCTTCCCAATATAACAAAAAAATCTGCAAAGTGCTGAAGATACTACTCAGTACATAACAACTGAACGCTGAAAAATTGGATTTTTGACTTCTCAGTTATTAAAATTTTGTTGGAAAACAATTTACTATCTAAAATACCTTAATTTTCATCAATACTTATGTTGAAGTTCTGATTATTTGCGACATTAAATTGTTTCAGAAATACTGAATTTCTAAGGAGAAGAAAGGAAAAGTGAATCAGGTCTTCAAAAAAGTTAAAAATACACCGTTTGTATGAGAGAGTCAATGGACAATAAATATTAATTTTTCTGAGTTAGATCAGGTGAAAAAGGACCAAGGGCTTGTCAGTCAATCCCAGAACATTTTGTTATGTTCTTTCCGCAGAAAGTATTTTTCCCCTGAACTACGAGATACTATTCTGAATACCTAATATTGTACAGACAGTTCTATTTCAGTTCTGTAACCTCATATAACTATATGAATTTTGATTTTTTTTTTTTTTTCCAGAAGAACATAACTGACTTGGATAAGCTAACCCCCAAAATCTCAAAAGTAAATAGTGTATTGCAGCTTGCTATCCAAATTCTTCTTTGTTACGAATAAAACAATCAATATATAGGGTTTGATTTCTGCATCTGGGTTGTCTGCAGTAATATAGCAATAGTTGCTGTTGGTTTGTATTTCACTTTTAAAATCAAGTTATATATGCTACTTAGGTATTGATCTCAGTGAGAAAATCAAATGCTTGCCATTAAAACTAGTGTGCAAACTAGAAAAGTCTGAGCTTGCTACAGAATTCTGGTTTTGTGGTCTCCACGAGCTACCTACGAAGAGGACATCTTTGTATATATTTCTGGCCACTAATATTTGAACAGTCTTATGTTCCTTACTTGCTGATCTGTACTTTATTGGGTTAAAAATAATATTTATGACACAGCCCTCCAGAAATTACAGACTTTTGGAGAACATCTTGTGCTGGTGCCATCTCTATAGTAAGCTTAACCATGATCTTTCCTAGTGGTTAACCTAACACAATGGGTCAGTTTACATTTGCCTTTAATTATGACTGTTTTGCATATTCTAGTGACCAGTGTTTACTTTTACAGTGCTACATATCCACTTAAAGTGCATTTTTCTGGACCACCAGTGTACATAAACTAAAGCATCTTTGTTCTCATAGCAGGTGTATTCTCCCGAAGAGTTACAGTGCTGGTCTTAAAGGTTACTTTTGCTTAATGGTAAAAATAAAAATGTATCACTGGCATCATAAAAAGAACTCAGTTACTATAGCAAACTCTCTTTAAAAAGGCTAAAGGAAAAACATTTCGAAAGTTTACATTACCGAGTCACAAATCAAAAGGCATAGTTTTAAATAACTCTGTTAGCAAAGATTTTTTTGACAAACTTTTCCTTGGTACCTCTGGGCTAAATAATTCTCCCTGGATTGATAAATAGGTTTGTTTCTTGTAAGTCATTGCTGTTTACAACATGCACTGCCAGATGGACAAAGTGTACCGCTTTTATTATGCGCTAAGCTAAGTCCAGGTACGTGGTGTCAGCAAACAGAGCCTATGATTGTTGCCTATCTGCCATGAAGCCACTTCAGATTCTCTTTAAGTTGAAAAAATGTTTAGCAGAGCATATGAACTTGCCATTTCTTCTATTCACAATATGGCTTACTAGTGAAGAAAGTAAAGAAGATTAGAAATTGCACTAACAACTGGTTGGCATAATAATTTCTTCACTTTTTTTGAAGTGTTACTCCATGATCAGATATGGAATTGAATGTTCATATATAAATTAATAGGACGTTATGCAAAAGTTGATGTGAGGCCTTTTGGGGAAACTGTGTGCTACTGTGCTATAATTCAGTTCTGTTTTTTTTTTTTTTGTTTTGTTTTTCTTCCTCTGTCAAAGCTGAACAGCATTGCACTTACTCTACTAAGTAACCGTGGAAGAAAAGCAAGTAATGCTATTTATGTAACTTTTGATGTCCTGAAAAAAAGTCAAGAGGATAGTTAACTTCTGGAATTTTATTCAAGTTAAGGTTTGAATATACAGTAGAATCTTTGAATGAAAATTCAGTAGAAATTATTATTTTTTTTTAATAGGAACTGGAAATAAAGAAGATGGCTAAGACTGGTAACAAGGAAGCCTGTAAGGTGCTAGCAAAACAGCTTGTACAATTGCGGAAGCAGAAAAATCGAACATACGCTGTTAGCTCTAAAGTCACTTCTATGTCAACTCAAACAAAGGTTATGAACTCTCAGATGAAGATGGCAGGAGCTATGTCAACTACAGCAAAAGTAAGGTGCTACAAGACATTCTTTTACATTAAAATACAGTATATGCTTGCAAAAAGTTAACTTGTGTTATTTTGCTTACAGCAACTGAAGGAAAGCAATTAAATAAAGTGTATTGCTTAATAACGTGACCAGTATTGAGGATATAATAGGGAAGTGTAATTTGATTCATATTATCATTTTTTTGAATAGTCAATTCTGCCAGTTAGCGTCTAACTAAGCATATTTTCTTGGGCTAGACATCTGTCAAATGTTTACATGATAAAATTCAACTCTATACCTGTGGAAGAACTTTAATAGATTAAAAAAAATCAACAAACAAACCATGCCATTATAGTATGTTGCTTGTATGTCACGTTGCAAGCAGTTTTTATTGGGAAAAAGTGGGGCACACTTCAAATAGAAATCAAGGCAGTGTGTCACAGTAGCTGTGTAGTTGATGTGACGAGTAGGTTATTACTTCAGATCTTACATTTCTGCAGAAATTTAATCTGGAATTCCCTGTCATTCTCACTCTCCATGCGCTAAGGATCCCGTATTACATTAAGTTTTCTCACAAATCTTGGTTCATAAAAGGCCCTGAAAAATCTCAGTTATCTTAGTCTTGAACTTTTTCCAATTTCTACAAACTGATAAATAGGAAGCTTTCTTTTGGTAATCAGGATTGTTCAGCTCAAGGTGCAGGAAATAGAATTAGCACACAATTGTAGACAAATACTACTTTTATAGAGTCCAAGATAAATCCAGTTATGTGGCAGTTAAACCTTAAAAAAAAAACACACAATGGCAGTTAAACCTTAAAAAAAAAACACACAACAGTGCCACGTAATATAGAAAGTAATTACGGCTTTCTGAAAAAGGTATTTAGAAGCATTATTTTGGCAGATATCAACCTCTTAGTGAGACGAAGTTGTAGCTCTGCAACAAGCTTTCTATTTACCAGGACTAACCCACTATGCAGCCAATCAAGTTAAACAGTTTACTCAATATTCCTATACAAGTCTTACATATGAATAATTTGATCTTGCTTTTTAATTATTACATTGTTGACTTGCTCTTTATCCATAAGATATCTTGGATTAAGTTTCTCAAAACCAAGGTATCACTAAGGTAATTATTAAGATGTAGTCAGTTAAAATATTTAAAAAACTATTCTAAGCAGCATCTAGAAAAGCGATGGGTTTTGAAACACAGCAGATGCTTCTATGGACAAATTTATGTAACATTATCAGAAGAAGGTATTAAATTATTTTGGTCACTTCTAAAGTGAACAGCTTTGCTTCATCCACACAGGAAGGTTGAAAAAGAAAGTATTTAGTAGTTCATTTTGAAGCTTATAAATTGTTCTCAGTCTCATAACCGTCAGTGAATGCAATCAGTTGCCTTAACATGCAAGACAAATACACGGAATGTGAAGCTTTCAAAATATTATGCAAATACTTTTTAGCATATATAGCACAAATTCTGGACATAGATGACTACTCACTGGACTTTAATCATGCATCTGACCTATATTTGCTGAAGATACATAACTGTTATTTCAGTTTAGTGCAAATATTTTTATATTCATCTATTTACTGTTTAATCATGCATCTGACCTATATTTGCTGAAAATGCATAAATATTTTAATTTAGTGCAAATATTTTTGATAATCATCTATAACTGGAGTTGAAAATTCTAACAAACACCCTCAAAGTCCATAACAAATTTTTCAATTCATATAATATGAATATGAACATAACCTTTGAAGTTCATATAACATGTGAAGCATAGTACATTACCATTTTAAACAAAATCAGAAATGAAGGCAGAAGTGCTTGTATGAAGCCAGTAGTAGCTGTATAGGTTAATCAAAAGCGTTGCTATCAAGTCAACTCTTTTATCTTCTTAAATATAGCTAGACTTTCCATTTAAACTGCTCACTTCTATATTTATATTTAGACATCTAATGAGATGTAGTATCTTGCTTCTTAGAAAGGAAGAAAGCTGCAAAGCTGCAAAGGCAATGCTGCATACTTATAGTAAAACAGGTGAAGTTCATTATGCCATCACACAAAGTTGTCAACCCAGTGCAAAGGTTTACCATAAGCTGCATACTTCCTGAGCGTTTTAATATTCACTTTTCAGGTAAAAGTAAATTCTTTCCATGAAGAAGTGACATAGAGAAACAATTTCAATTTAAGGTCTGTCCTCTAGTGGTGGTTGAAATAAATGTTCCATACTGAGTAAAAAACCTGCAGCCATTTACCTCTGTAAAATGTATAGCCTGCGCTTAAGGAAATGTTTTCCCATTCTTTTCATTAAGATCAGGCAGATTTTTCCTAATGCACAGCTAGCTAGGAGAAGGGGTGTAGTAGTTTAGCAGACTACAGTATTTCTTACTGAGTACAGACTGCACTATTGATCTTCTGTGTATCTATAGTTCTCTTGGGACACAAAAAGACTAGGAAAGTGAAACTTGGACTGAAGGGTATTTTTTATTAGAGAAGTCTTATTCCTTCTTATTGCATGTATTGGCCAGTATTAATGTTTCACTGTATAATTGATTTTTTTTTTCAATTTTATTAGACAATGCAAGCAGTTAATAAGAAAATGGATCCACAGAAGACACTACAAACTATGCAGAATTTCCAGAAGGAAAATATGAAGATGGAAATGACTGAAGAAATGAGTAAGTTCTGGGAACAGCTAGCAGCATGCCATAGTATTCTTGAAGGGGTAGAACCAGTCTAGGAACAGGGTTTGAGACCACTTCAAAACCTTGTTGGTATAACTAATAGGGGAACGTGAAAAAATGACCTTTCCATATCTGATCTGTATGTGCCTTTTGTTCTGGGACTGGACATTTTAAAATGTTGAGTTTAACAGAGATTATTGATCATCTCAGCTTTATATACATGGTGGTATGGAATATGTTTGTCTCCTTTTTGATTTTAAGCCACAAACTTACTTCTGTGGTGTGATGTGGAAAAGGAGTTTCTTTCAGTGTCAATCCACTGCCAACTAAATCGTACAGAACTTCCCAGTGTTGCAAGCACAGCCTGCATCCTATCCTAACCCCTGCTACTGTGTTGGCCCTAGTAGGTAGCATGGACTCAAAACAGGATTGTTGAGCAGGATGTCAACATCTCTACTGCTCAGAATTGTATTGTTGCAATTCAGAAAATAGGTCAGTAACAATTTTGCAATTTGTTTTGAAGAAGGAAGGGCTTTTCTAATGGAACTGTAGGTGATATTTCAGAGAAATGTTAAAATCTAGTGGAGGGAAATAGAGCAACTAAACTATTACTTGAGAAACCTAACATTTTTATAAAAGCAGACATGCCTTACCCTGTAGTTGTACTCACAGGCTTTGCACAGCAGAGGTAAGAAAACCTCTCCAATATATAGGTGCTTTCTGCTGATATCTTATCCAGTGTTGTTATTATTGCATTGTGGGAGAGTTGAAAGATGACACTAGGTTATTTTTGTAATCTCATCTTTGCATAATGCAATATGTTGTTTTTGTTTTTTTCTTTGAAGTTAATGATACTCTGGACGATATCTTTGATGCTTCTGATGAAGAGGAAGAGAGCCAGGATATTGTTAACCAGGTGCTTGATGAGATCGGAATTGAAATCTCTGGAAAGGTATGGATGGTTTTACTCAGCTCACATATTTCTTACCCTTCATTCCTTTTTTTTTTTTCCCCAAAAAAGAGTTTATTCTAACATCCTTTATTTTAAAGTCCTGTTCTGGAAGTCAGGTTGTCATGTAATTTATTCTTTTGACTAAATAAAATTTCTCTCTCCTTCTAGATGGCCAAAGCTCCATCAGCTGCCAGAGGCTTACCGTCTGCATCAACATCAAAAGCTTCTACCATATCAGATGAAGAGATCGAACGGCAGCTCAAAGCATTGGGAGTTGATTAGCTTGATGTCAATAGTCTACCTTCAGACAGCTGCAGACAGATGTAAAAAGTGCAAATACTCTTTCAATGCAACTGATGCCTAGGAAAACTCTGAAGCTTCAGAAATGACAACTTGAAGTTGGTACTAGGGAGGGAGAAGGGGAGAATACTTTGAATCAATTGATAGCATGAAGTACTTGCGACCAGTGCATGCCATCTTATTGAGCATTGGATTGAATAGGGATGTAGTTCTAATGATAAATTTATACCTGATCTGAATCTGACCTCTGCTGAATTCAAAGTTTTCTTCTATCTCAGTTCCTTTTCTATCTTTAGAATTGGCAATTCTGTGGCTGCTGTGGTGGTGGTGTCTCCTAGGACAGCACCTGTATAATATATATCCTTTTTATAAAACTGTTGCTATAGAAAAAAATTTACTCTGACATTTTGGCACAAATGAAACTTCACCTTTGCTCTCAGTTGAAAACTTTTTTTTTTTTTTTTTTTTTTAAGAGAAATAACCTTGGACATCCAGAACATTTAGGCAGAAAGAAAAATCAGTTTATGCATTTCTTTCAAGTTTGTGTAGTAACTTTGAGTTGATTAAAAATAGCTGATTGTTCTTTTTACTGAAGGGGAAGGATACAGTCCTTGTGCAGTTAATTTTACTGGAAAAGGATTTATGTTAGTGAACTTTGTTGCATGAAAGGCACTGATTGAACTCAATTGTACTGTAACATAGCTAGTTTCAACAGAATTGCTGTGCCTTTATGTATATAAATCTTGTATTCCTGTGATTTTTTTCCAAATGAGTCTTTGAAAGGAGAGTAAACTGTAACAAAGATAGTTTCCACAAAACACTATGGTGTGAGCTCCATGTATACTTGATAAGACTCAGTGAAGTTTAGAAATGCACTTGTTCAGAAATGCTACTTGCGCACTTGCAAAAAGGACATTTGCCTGAAACATTTGTATATATTTTACAGTATTTCATAATGGGAGATAACTGTGCATAATGGAATTGTTTACTAAGATGCAGTTGAGCACATTGATAAGCTAAATCTAAATTTTAGTTAGAAGAACAATTTTGGATGATACATTCTAATTACTTGTCTAAACACTATAATGAAAGTGTTCTGGTTCCATGAAGGCTTTTCTATGGTCTCTGAGCTGCATCAACATGATTCCGGCTTTAGGTGGAATACATTTGGCTACCAAAATAAGAACTGTTGACATTTTGAACAGATGACTAAAGTCTGAGAATGTAGTTCACAGTTATGACTTTCCAGATTGTATAAAGTTCCTCAGCCCTTACTCTGATGTAGATTATTTGTCCTAAGTTGTGCTGATTTACTGGGGCTGTTCATTGAACAGAAACAACAAAATCATTGTGATTTGTAAAGAAAAAAGTAAAATACCTCCTAAGATTAAAACCAGAATAACTTTGGGGTACAAATTTCATAAAAAGACTTTGCTGCTACGAAAAGTGTAGCAAGAAACCATAATCTCTATGAATCTACTGTTGTCACATCATCTGCTTTAGGGTTAAAATCAGCAGAGAAAGAAAAAACAGGTGAACCTTCATCTGTTTTTTGATATAGAAATTGAGGTGTTCTTTCTCTTTGGAGGAAGTAAGGGACATACTATTGATCTGTGAGGTAGTGGGTAGGAATGTGTAAGTTTATATATTGCATATATCTCTGATACGAGGTGAAATTTTTTTTCTCAATTTATTTTGTAAAAATCTAATAAAAGGCTTTTTACTCCACAGCGAGTCTGTCCTCTGTAAGGTTAGTCTTACACATCAATCTGTTGGTGGGCTTTCTTTGGACTTCTATTAGATCTTCTATTAGATTTGTTATGGGTCTTGCTGATGACCTCTTAGCTTCCATAAGAATTCTGATACCATTGCTACTTTTGGTTGTGGGAAGTTTGAAACAGTTCTGTTCTTCAGGCTGTACAGCTACAAGAGCTACTTTGATGCTGTATCAGTTCTGCTCCCTTACTCAGTATATCTCCTTTCCTTGCCTTTCAGCATTAAAATCGAAGCTTAAAGCCACAAAGGCAGAAGCTAAGTTCAGAACATTTGACCAACCTGGAATTTTAATTATTTTAATTTTAATTATTATAATGTGACTTTTTTTTCCCCCTAATAGATCCATTTCCTAAATATAAGCTGGCTTTTGACCCAAGCTATAAAGGACCATAATATTTGCTGAAGTTGCCTGTAGGCCTTTGACTCAACATTAAGCATAGCTTTTGATTAAGTTTGCAATTCTTTTCACTTGAGAAGGATTGACTACTCCTAGGCATTGAAGAAGAAACTATAAAGTGAAATTATTTAGGTATAAAACATTACTGATTGTATTTTGGTTGAACATCAAGGCTAGTGTCCTTTCTAAGTGTGTATTTTATACTTCCTGTTAACATTAGGCTTAATTCTGTGATGAGCTCTTGTAGGGTCTTTGAAGAATTGAAGAATAAAGGCATTACTATTTGATGTCAGTAAGACTGCTCATGTAGAATCACTGATAAGATCTATCCAGTGTTTCTGGAAAGACTTATCTTAAATTCTGCAGCCCTACTCTGTGTCTTTCTGCTATCTTTCAGCAGCAGATTGAGAAGTGTTGTAAGTTTGCAGGCTTGCTTTTATTTGTCTCAAGTATAGGTAAGTATTTTGTAGCTCTCTATAACCACATTACAAGGAAACACATTCCTTTTAAATTATTCTTAGTGGACTAAAAAACAACAATTAAAAGTCCTCAAACTCCTTTATCTTTGCTGACACTTTAACAGCAACTGAAAATCTATCCAAGAAGAACACCATGATTGCTTGATGCATGTAAAAATGTCTGTTCTGAGCCAGACCAAACTCCATCTCACCCAGAATCCTACTCCACTAGTACCTGCAGGCAGTGCCCAAGAAAACATGAGAATAAGATAAACACAGATGACCCTTAATATCTCTTAGCCTCTTTTTCTAATATCTCTTAGTTTCTAGATACTCCTAGAGCCATGCATAGTTTCACTGTATATGACAGCTTTGACTGGCTTTCTCTTCTGTGAACTTGGTCATGTAAATAAACTACTAGCACCCACACTTTGTGGTAGAGAATTTCCACAATATACATGTAGTCCCCACAACATTAAGAACCATCACTTTTTTTTTTTTAATGCCTTCAGTTTTCTTCTAGTTTAACACATTGATTCTCGGTTCTTACATTACAAAGGATGGTGAATAACCTGTCTCCATCCACCCTTTTGGAACAGCTCATAATTCAATAGACCCCTGTAAATGCACACATATCTAGAAGAGAGAGTCCTAGCTTAATTAGTTATTCCACTTACCTTTGGTCATCAGCTTTTCCTGTACAGGGACTCTTTCTAGGCCTGTTGTATCCTTCAGACGAGAGTGACAGAGTACATAGCACTTAGGAGACAGGTGAACCACATATTTACATATTAGTGTAATGCCTTGTTTTCTCTCTGTTCTAGTTTTAATGCTACCTAAAGTTACCATAGGAAAAGTAAGAGCAAGAAAAAAAAAAAGAAAAGAAAAATAGTGCAGCCCATGCTTGTCAAACAGCCACCTAAACTTACTTGCAGGCTTTTAAAGCTAACCCTCAGAAGTCTTATCTAGTGGTTTTTTTTTCCCAGTCAAGAGCGATGATGGCAATTATCCAGTGAGTAAGTTGTTCCTAGAGAAAACACTGAATTGCTACTTTCTCTAAGTCTAAAAGCTGCAGCTGCAGCACATTAAATTGATTTCATCTTTTTTTTTTTTTTTTTTAAACAATTCTACTCTAATTTGTTAGTATTTCCATGGAAACAGATAGATGTTGTTAGATGGTGGCTGCTTCTTCCATTTAGTCTTCTTGTCATTCTTTTGCAAGAAAATGTCATTGCATGTCACCTTTCATTTTATTTTGCTATGCTTCTGCAATTAGTCTTCACTTGTGAGACTTTATGGAAAACTAGAAATCACAATTTTATGGTAAGTCTGTTCTTGAATTAACTTACAGCATGCTAAAACAAACAAGTGCATCACCACAATACACAGCTAAAAAACTACAAACCATTATGTGGAATACCAAATATATAGGAATACTTTATTTGGGAAGGAGGGGAACATACAGGCTTATATCATTTTTATGAAGTCTTTTATAATCAACAAAATAACTTAACAATATAAATAAAATTCATATTTGTCTGTAGTTTCAACATACGTAACACTAGGTTACATAAGGTCAAAGGTACACAGATGCATGCCACCACCTTCACTGAGTGCCAGTCTTCTCAAATGCATTTATCTTTCATCCTTTTGGAAAGCTAATGACCTACACGTGGCTGATAAAGACTAAGGCTCAGTCTTTGCTGTTGTGGGTGAGCTATGCTAGTGATGAGGATTATCTGAAGAGAGAACATAACATAATTTCTCCCATTTGAATTATTAGACTAGAGGCTACTTCTAAATTAAGGGGTTATAGCAGTGCAATTCACCCATAAAAATATATTTTCTTAATCCAGAGGCCTAATTTCCATAGCTGAATACGCTTATGGTCACTGTAATAAGAGACCATTTAATATACAGCAGTATGAGAACACAACTTGTACACACTGCTTTTAAGTGATCTTGAACATTAAACCCCTTTGCTTTCTGTGGGCCTATTATCTAGACATTTTCTAAATCATCAGGTCTGTTTTATGGAAAAATAAAATTTATCTGGCCATTACTACTTGCACGTACTCACTTAATTTCAGTCCTGGGAAAAGAGTAAAATACATATATGGTAATGGACTATTTAATAACAATGAGCAGGGCTGATGAGATGGCTTGATAATCTATCCCTGGTGAGCACTAAAGTCCTTAATTTAGTTTCTTAGTGTCTGGCTTTCTGATAGGTGAAGCTCTGGCTTTTTTTTTTTTTTTTGTATTTTTGTTTGTTTGTTTGTTTTTTGTTTTTTTTTTTTTTTTTTGTCTTTGGTTGTTTGTTTTGTGTTAGTAAAGTTTTTTTCTTCCTTTATTTTTTTTTTCTCCCTGTGATTATTTCCCTAGGCTAGGGGAGGACAAAGGATTGTTTTCAATTAGTGGAGTGTAAGAGAGTAGGAATGTACAGTGCAATAAATGCTTTGTGTGGATACTTATTTCAGAGAAAAAAAAAAGTTGCTTTTTAGCTTAATATATTCTCTCTGATGCAAGAATGTCCACAAAAGATTTAATCAGAAAAAAAAAAATACAATGCAGAGAAAGTCCAAAGTAATAAAAATAAATAAATAATAATAATAATAATAAAGGTAATCCTCTAGTTTTTCCCTCAAGCCACAAAGTCATAAGGTAAGGTAAATTGTTTCCCAATTTTTATAGCTAAACCTATCCAAATCAAACTTTAAGGCACCCTATCAAATAGCAAGAAATACCTTTGATAATTAGCATAAAGAAAAAGGTCGTTTATAGTTGGTGTCTGCTTAAGGCAGTTAAGTGGTACATTAAGTGTTAGGGGCTATGTGGACATGTCAGTACTGGTAAGCTTATTGTACCATGAATAAAGACCACAGTTATGGCACATCTTTCATATCTTCACTCTGAACAGACACGAGGAAGTTACCTGAAATGGTTCAATCAGGGGCATGCAGCTTCTGTGAGTTGGTACCTGGTTTTCAGCCAGTTTTGGAAAGGCAGCTCTTCTGTCCTCACCCAGCGCTCCTCTGCCTGCCTTCCTGGCTTGCTCACAACTAGTGGCAGTCCCACAAGATCCTGTGGGTATTTTTTATCTTCGGCCATAACTAGATAGTCGACATCACCACCACCACAAGTTTAAGGTCACTTATTCACCTTTTCCTCTTCCTCGAGGTTCTAACTTATTTTTCACGTTCAATTTAGTGAACTCAGTGTTTGCTGCTGGAGACAGGACCCCGCATGTGCCTAATGGCTCACAGTCTCGCAGATTTAGCTCATTAAGCTAATTACCATGGGGTGAAGGGTATAGCAATTACATCAATGTGCAGAGGCAAAATTATTTCAAAACAACAGTGGCTGATACCAAGCTTTGTAACCTTTCTTCATGTGTAACACAAAGGATTTGTTTCCTCATGCCTAGGTTACCTACACAGTGCTCTCTGTTAATCATTAAATGTAGCACAGATGCAAGGAAGGCACGGTACAGGGAAACTGCATCTACCTGGGCAAGCTGTAAAGCATTTCCAGTTACACAAATGCATAACAGGTTCCTTGCAGTTAAGCAGAGGCCTCCCAGTCTTTAAATATATGCTGTAACATTCAATTTGTTCCTGAACTTTTACATTAAAATCAGATCTTCCACACTACATTGCAGCTGAAGCTGGCTAGTTTGTAAGGGAATCAAGTGATTTACTGATTTAAATATACATATATATATTTTAAACAACAAATTACTTGAAATATTTACAAAAAGCAAAACAGAAATCCACAACTATGCATTAAAAAGATTTACCGGCACTCGTGATGCTCCTTGATAATAGAACTAAACGCGTTCTGATGCAAACTTGTCTTTACTCTTTTTTCCCTTTGTCTTCTGTTGCAAAACCAAACTCTCACAACTTCTTTCTCAAGATTGAGCCCCTCAGCCATCCTCATAATTTCCTGAGAAGAAGGCTTACTTTGTTCTCCAAAGTGCCTCTCTAGGGCTTCTTTGGCAGCAATACTGGATAAAGGGACAAAATTTCACCTTTAGACACTTTTCTGACACATTCAGGCTTTTGCCACTAGTTAGAAGGGTTGAGTCAGAGTACTGAAGGCAATGACTTGGTTTGTTTCCTCTTTTGCTGAGTAAATAAAAACCCATAGAACTTACTGCTGTAGTATGTTGTTGATGTGGACATCATAACATGCAGAATGCATGAAATTAGGGGTTAGGAAAAAGGAATGCAGAATTCCAGCACAGAGTCATTTAAAGACAAAAATACCATCAAGTTCAGTACAATTTTAGTGGTAATCATGAAATATTTGTGCTCCTTGATGTTTTCTAGAACATCTAGAACAGCTACTAACTAGACATGAATGAGACCCTGGGAATGAGAACAAACTTGACCACCCATTCTGCCCCAGCCACAGCAAATGCACATTGCTGGGGTCACCTGGTTGTGTCATATCATTCGCCTTTAAAAAGGGGAAGAGCTTCATCAGTTATCATCTGGGACGTGCTGTGTCAAGTTCTATATCTCACCTTGTTATGGAGCAGACACAATATTACTTTTAGAAATCAGAGATTATAGCAGTCTCTTTTGTTGCATTTTCTAAAAATAATACAGTCTTAACCTATTCTTCACAGTCAGCAGTGACAAAGTCTAGCAGTTGAATAAAAAAGTAAGCCAGGAGTACTATCTTTCCTTAATTCAGTTCCTATTTGTGTTAATGTATTCTCAAAAATTTAAGAGTATCTGTAACATGCCTGCCTGTGAGCAACAGGGTGCACCCAAAGCTAGCTTCAGCAGTAGCTGTAATTTCTTTGGACACAAGAGGGCACTTCATGCTTTGTTCTGGAAATGAGATACGGGTATTTCCATTATACAAATGTACAAAATAGCTGTTGGAGTTCCAGTTATTTCATCTGTAATATGCTGTTGGTCTTTTATTTATAGGCATATTTTGAAAATTTCAGTAGCATTACCAAGCCTACCGATTAATAGCATAATGTTCTGCACACAGAGATGTATAGTTAATTGTTTTTGACTAGAGTTTTTTAGTTTTCCTGATGAAAATAGAAATTAAAATAGCTTCCACAACTTCAAATTAAGGAGCTTTTGCCCAGGGTATAACTAACCTAATGTATTTAGTGGGACTTCTGTTTTACCTCTAGTTTGACTTCAAACATCAATTAAGAATTGCTAAGAGTAAAGCTACAGTTCAAATAAGTCCCTCTCCCTGATTAGTTTGAGGTCTTCAAACTGAGGTCCTACATTCCTTCAAAGAAGTAATTAATATTTTCTTACTATATTGGATATGAACTTCCCCTCAATTATCCGTGCCCTTGAAAACTTGCCAGAATTGATGGTCTCAATGAGATGAGATTTGATATAAAAGCAGGAAGAATTATAATAAGCTTAATGTGAAGACTGATTTCCTCAGCAGTTGTTAAAAAGCAACAACAGCAAAACCCACAACATTAGAGGAATGGTCTTCAGGGGGTTCCTCTTGCCAGGGGAAATTGCCTAGAACAGAGATGTTCTGAACTCACTGCTCTCAGTCAGTAATTCACAAACTGTGTAAGGGCATGGCACTGTCCCTGAAGACCTTACTCGCTTGGAGAGAAGATGGGAGAAGAAACTGGCATCTCAAGAGTAAAATTTCATCCCTTTTGAGGTGCTGTGATTAGCAAATGAGCAACGAAGCATTTCCTATCCCCAATTCACTTCTAGCTGAGAAGCATCCCCTTAGAGGAATACTTTAAAAGTCAATGAAATCACATTTTCATTTTATTTCTTATATCAAAGGCAATATGATTCAAAAAGGAAAGCTCAAGTTGAATGGGAGAGGAGAAGATATGAGTTGTTACTGTGGGACTCTGAGATTGCAGGGCCATGGAGCAGCCTACCTCTCTGGGAGATGACATTACACATAGGATATGATTCCTGTTCAAAGAACAGGTGCAGTACCCTAAGAGGTAAGGCCTGACAGCGCCAGGTTTGTGCCCAAAGGCAGCCAAATTCCCTTTCTGTGGAAGAGTACTACAGTTCCTTGGAGGCCCCCTGAGGGAATTTTCTTCATCAACAATAAGAGTTTGGTTTATCTAAAGGAGAAGAACATACCCTATACCATTGCTTTCATCATTTTATTGGCTTTATCTATTTAGTAATTGTTTATATAACATGTTTTTACCAGCCTACTTTATTTCTTTATGGATTTGAGGCTAGACTGATAGTAAATTTTGGTTCCCCAAGATGAAAAAAAAAAAAAAAAATAGGTAGAGAGACACGCAAAAGATATCCTCAGACTTCCTAGACCACAATTCTGTGGAAAAATAATGCAATTTCATTTGGTATAATGTAGAACTTCCTATAAATGAAAACAAGAGTGCTCTGCTATTTTACTATATAAAGATTATAAGATTGGGGCAGAATTGTAATAATATTTTTTTTCATACTGAAGTATGTTGTCATATTTTGAAAACAGAAGTCTTTAATTGGGAAATTTAGTACATTTGGAGAAAATTGGGGGCTTGGAGGGATATGCTGTTGTTTTTCACTAGAATGTTTTCAAATAATTTCTCTTTTATTAACTATTCATTAGTAGGAAAAAAAAAAATCTCGATTTCAGCCCCACTCCCTCCTCTCCTCCCCTTCCCCACCCCCCCCCAAAAAAAAAAAAAGCATCTTATCCAAAGGGTTTTCTAACATGTAACCCCATAAATATGTATTACCTTATGGTGGTTCTGCGCTTCCTCTTCCGCTCATTCACTCCAACTTTTTCATTGTATAAAGCTGTATTAAAAACAAAACAGTAGTTAACTTATATGGGGAATGGAAACTGAGAACAATCATCTCTAGAAAGAAAACATCCTTTTGTTTGAAGACAGATGAAAGTGTAACAAATACTGTTGCTGGCAGCACTGCAAGAAGGGCACCATGCACAGTTACACTTCTTTCTTTAAGATCTTTTGTCATTATTTTAACTACAGTTATAAATGTTTATAAGCAAAAACGTTGTGTCCAATGGTAAAGCTGCAAGTAGCACTGGCTCTGCTTCTCTGCCAGCGTACCCGAGGAACCATACATCAGCCCCCGCCTTTTACATACCTTCTTCCTCCTTGCCTGCTGGGTACTGCCTGGAGAGATGCAGTCTACCTCCGTACTTTTCAGCTACCTCACCCTCTTTCTTCAGAAATAAGGCCCTGGCACTTATCCCATTTATTCATCTGCTCCACCTTCTGGTGGACGAGTCTCCCATTTTTTTCAGAGGCCACTATCTGCAGGCATGATCTTACCCTGCAGTTCAAGCCTGCACCAATGCTCACACAGTCAGAAGCTGCTACTCACCATAAACCCCTTAGAAGTGATCTTTATGATGTGCTGACCACATTAAGAGGTTTTGGTTCCATTTGGTTCAAAGGAAAATGAACTGTGTGGCAGAATCAGCTCCTTAACAATGTTTCCTACTGTTGAATATAATGGCAAATGCAAGAAGTAGTATTAAGATCATCTCTTTCTTCCTATGGTAGGTGAGTGCCACACAGTGGTAAGTCCTGGCTTTCAATCACCTCCAGGCATACTGCTTCACATCACTGCCATTCATCCTGTTGAAAAGGTGCTTCCTTAAAACAAACCATTTCCTTTGAATCGACCAACCTGTTCTAAAGTCAGCTTAGCCCAGTGAACCTCAGAATTCTTTCTACAAGTGGAAATTAACAGGGCAAAAGGAAGGGAACCCTCAAGCAGCAAAAAGGTGGCAGCAAAAACATCACATCAAAAACCTGTATGTATTGCTATTCTTCTTCAGTGATTCAAAGAGGACTGCCTTAGCTGACTGAACTCAAATTCTTTATCCCATGGCCACATCCTGCATGCCAGAGACTGGAAGGAAGAGTCTTCTGCTAGTGAAGAATGCCAGTTCAGTGCTGCACGCACTGTCCTGCAGATCCTAAAGAAGTGGTAATGACTCTGACCGATGCTACAGTAGTGGGACTAGCTCACTACAGTGGGACTGAAGGAAATGACTTCCAGAAGGCAAAATGATGTTTCTGCTGTTCTGTACCTTCTATGCCTTTCAGTTTGCCCCTTCTCGCTCACCCAAAAAAAAAGATACTAAAATTCATTACATGCCATCAGCACATCTTAGTATTTAAAGCTGGTAAAACAAAAACTTTAATGTACAGAAGATGCATATTAGTCCTTCAAAGTATTTATAATATCATGGTCTAATTGCAGTCAATATTCAGAGGATTTCAGCTCTCTACCTCCCACTTGCTCTGCTTCCTCCAGCCACTTAGACAGTATTGATTTCAGTTTGCACGCATTCTTGAAACTCAGCTGCAAGTTTTCAAACCGGCAAATTGTAGTTTGGCTGAATTCAGAGCCATGTACAGCAGCCAGCGCTTCCCCAACATTGGTTTGCGTATAACCTGTCAAAAATTAAAAGGAAAATGTCACTCTAAAGCTTTCTAAAAAGTGTTACTGTCCTTATTACACTTCAGCTTTCACTGCCAACTGTTATGAAACTTGTGTGCCTGTGGTGTCTTCAGGATGGTCTTTCTGCAGCGGTCTCTGAGGCTGACTTTCAGCTCACCTCAGAGCTGTGTGGAGTCTTCTGCTGATTTCAGAGTTTTACAGGCTCTGAGATTAGGGATCTGAGAAAGGTCCAGACCCCATAACCATTCTTTAGAGGATGCCATGGCAATAAGCTAATCCCTAGCAGCATTGCTGGCCTCCTGTTATTTGTTGTGATGCCTAAATTGAAGCGATCAGAGAAGTGCTGCACTTTACATGCGGGCACTGACTTGGTAAACAGCAGCTCTCCATTGAGTGCATTGAATAATTTGGCTTGTCTTCCTCCCTCTCTACCTCTGTGCCAGGATGGGCACAATCTCTTTAGATGCTGAATGTCTCACAAGGCAGCCTGTTGCTTCCCTTTTGACTGCACTAACTTTGTCTCTTAGTCCCAGACCCAAAGCCCATATTAACTCTGTCTTCTCTTGTAAAGCTCAACCTCAGATTAGTTTTCCTCTGCAAATTGCATTTTTCCCATCAGAGCATTAAGCTCAGTCTCACAGTCTCTCTGCCATTTGTTTACATCAGAGGAAGTTTCGCTCCCTCACAAATTACTGCATCAAGATGGAGTAATAATTACACTGATTAATAGCCTGGGGCCCCGATAATCTTTCCTCTGTTGTGGTTGATGTTGAATACATGATATACAGCAAAAATACCTAAGTACACAAATATTATTATAAACCATAAATTTCTGCTTTAGTCCTTATTTTTTATACTGCAAATGGAACACAAGAGCTTTCTAGCTATTGAAATAATGCATAGACACATGTAACAATCTTGTATTCTTTTCTTACATTTATAAAGGTGATTTTTTTTTTTATAGAAAGATGCCCTATGACTGTAATGCTACAATATAATTCTATAAGCAATAATGTCAAAATTGCATCTCTTTGTTTGGAGTACCCAATATTCAGCTCACCAGAGATCTACTGATACAATTCATCTCACATCATCCCCACTAGTTATCAGACAGGAACAAAGAAATCAATTGCTGCTGTACCTGTGCCATACTACCAGAAAATAAAACAGGAGGAAAATCTTCCTACTGGTGTGAAAAAATTTGCTATGGATGTCATCTATCTTGTATACTGAGGTGGCATTGCACCATCTTGTGAGATGGAGTGCTTCATGGGGAAGAGAATAGGTACAAGAGTTTAGAGAATGTGCTGCCCTCAGCTGCAGAAAATTTTGAGCTATTCAAAAACTAATGCACCTGCTACTGAATGCAACTTAGTGAACAACAACAACAACAAAAATAATGCCTCTGCTCTTGTAAGGAAGACAAATAATTTAAAAAGCAGGAACTTTTACAGTTACTTTCTGCATGCTAAGCTGCAAAAAGCTGAAGTTTATTAATTCTGTGCAAGTCTTCTAGGAATGGAAAAAAATCAGCCATACAAGGCAAGGATTAAAGTTATGTTTAGATGACTGCATGGACCAGACCATAAAACACTCAGACATAATTGAGCTCTCTTTGGAAATTTTCAGCCTTTCGTTGGCTGACAAAAAGCACATACCCAGCTTAATTCTCCGCAGTTTAAATTCATTAGCAAATTTCTCCAGCTCCCTGATTTCAGGTGAATCCATATCAATAGGCTCTTCAACAGACTTGCTTTTCCTGCGGAATTCCTGCTTGAAGTCTGCAGCTGTGGGATCATCGCCGAGAAGGGACTGGTGCATGGGTGTGAAGCCGTGGCCCAGAGCACAGGAGCTGGCACTCAGGGCGTGCTCAGGGAATTTATAAAGGCAAGGAGTCAGGCTGCCTGAGCAAAACCCAAAAGAAAACTACATACAGTTATTCTGCTAAACTACGAAAAGATGCCTTTGTCATCTCATAACCAAATCTGTAATATTTTTTATATAATTTATGTGAAAGGCTACCCAGGAGCAAGAGTGAGGATCTCCCAAGAGACCCAGTCTTTCTCTTGTCTCCATATACAAAAGCAGAATAGCAACCACTTTCACAACCCATAGCCATACGAATTGCATAGTCAAACTGTGACATGTCATTATAGATTTCAGATAGGAAAATCTCACACACACACAAACACACACACACACACAAAATCCCAAAGAATAAGGAAAAGACAAGAAAAAAAGAAAAGGACTTGCTTTGCAATGTGCTGACACTATTGACTATGTTTGGATGTGGCATGCTGCATGTCTGTAAAATGCGGCTCTGGGAGAGACTTGCTGATAGCATCTCTGGAGTTGCAGGCTTGATACCTAAGAAATACAAGGGTACAAAAAGAAAGGAGAAGGTTGAAGATCTATTTATTTTGGAACAGAATACAATGGATTTCTGAGCAATACCTTTTTTTTTTTTTTTTTTAATACCTACAGACTTTACCTGGGGATCTAAACAATGCCAGGAACGTTTGCAATAGACAGGTTAGACAGATTAATGGGTAATGAAATGGGAAAATTTGGACATTTGCACACAGTGAAGGAAGTCTACTGTCAGTCTGTAAGAAGTCCCAATACAGATGTACTAATCTATACCAGCTTAGTGAAATATTTCCTTCAATCTTAAGTGAAATCAAATGCTGAGTTTGATCTGGATTAGCTCTGAGAAACAATTATTTCCTGGGCTGTGTGTTAATCTGGCTCATGGAATTGTCTCAACGAGGGCAACTTGAATTTACATAGAATAAGATTTCTGCTTTCTTACTTGGCCTGGAACTTTAAAACTGAGTGGGATGCTAGCATACCTGTGAGTGGAAAAATCCATGATCATCTCTGTGAAAGCACATCATACTGCTTTATGGCATTCAGAAAAAGCATACGTTGACTGCAAGCTTTTTTTTTTTTTTTCTGGCCTTGAAAGCTATCCCAACATGTTTAAACTGGTAGAAAAGCAAAACAACCAAACAAACAATCTTGATCATAACTCTTAAATATCAATTCTAAATCCTGTCACAGTTTCCATGCTACAAGTTTAATGCACATTTATCTTGTCTTCTTTAAGCAATTGTCTTGAACTGATCCCTCTAAATGAAAACTGACCAAAATCAACATTCTAGTAGCCCATCCAGTGTAAGCTACATCTCTTACCTGCCATCACCCCATAGGTAGACGGTTGATTTCCGTAGTGACAAGAGGGCACAGAGTAATGAAGTCCTGCCAATGTATTTCCCAAAGTCATCATGGCAAAATGGAGATGGGAGCATTTAGGAGTTTGGATCAAAAACAAAACAGATGGGACTGGTAAGAAAATGTATAAGGACTCAAGATACATCCTTTCAGTTTAGAAGTAGACGGTGTCCTTGTATATTGTTTTTTCTCTAATCATTAACTCTGGGCCATAACCATCAGGTTGATGCTGCTGGAAGTCCAGAACACTGGGCCCAGTCACACCAGATGAGATTACCACTACAAGTAGTGAGATACCTTTTGAGCCCAAACCAGAAATTTTCATGTCATGGTCTTGATGTATTATTTTAAACAACATCTATGGATCTAGCCACAGTTTATATATACTGCTGAGTACACAAAGCAATGAACTCTCCAAGAGGAGGCTCCCCACCCAACTTCCACATACCATTTCATTTATTCATATATGAAAACTTGTTTTGTGTTTCCAGAAACATCATTGCCTTCACTATCATGAAATCCCAAAGTGAACACACACATACAGGAAGGCAATATTTTATGCATGCATAAGACCTATGTTCTTAAAAGCAGTTGTTTGGGACATTTGCTTTGCAGCATCCAGAAGTCATTTTCACAAGTGCCAAGCCACTGAAAACATTTCATGGTGCTTTTGCCAGGTTGTCAGGAAACAGGATGATAGATTCTGGGCTTATCTAAAAAGTTTGGCTTATATCAACATTTTCTATCACCAGCAGCAACAAGCATGCAATGAGTTTATCTCCAAGTGTTTTCACAGGGGTCTTCCAGGCAGCATAGCAAGAAGCATAAGTCTGAGGAAGAGATTCAGGATGCATATTCTACTGGTTTCTTGCCTCACTAGATCAATATTCCAGCTGCTCAAGAAAATCAGCAAAGAGGTCAAACAGTATCAAACTTTCATCAGTGAAAGATGAAGCTTTGCTCTATTTCCCACTTCTGGAAAACAGAAATCACCATTTTCTAGCTCACTCAGATGAAGAGAGATATTTCAGTTCCATGCTCAGTTATCTCCAATGCTTGGAGATTCAGATAACATTTTACTCAATGCAAAAGCTATGGTTCCTGACAGGTAAGCAGACAGCAGAAACATGTACACTGTCCCATCTAACAACTGTTCTAAAGGGTAATATTAAAAATTCATGTTTGTGAGCATTCAGATATGTAGAACTGCACTTCAGATCACACATTCCAGTTGTTCAAAACAGAATAATTAATTAGGGATTAGAATCTCTGTTTTTTACAACAATAATAACAGTAAAATGTCATGTTTAGACACATCTATAAACTCTACTAAAAGAAGCATGCCCGTACAAGTATAAACACACCCAAAATAGAGATTACAGTAATAATACTCATGCACTTAGAGCAATACAGCTTTTCCATTGAATTAACATCTAGGGATGTAGGTATTTACTTGTTGTTTTATTTTTTTTTCTTTTTTCTTTTTCTTTTTTTCTTAATCCATAGTCTGTACTGTTTTTATAAATAAAAATTACCATTTTCAACCTACTAATAAAGAGTTGATACTAGGTAGGGAGGAAGATGCTACTTAAATAATAATAATTAAAATGTATAGGGTACTACAGAAAACTATATGATATTGTATATTATTTGAACAAAAGTACTCATATTTAATGGTGCAGCATTGTTACATGCCTTTTAATAAAATCTGACATTTAAATAAGTCATTATTCAAAATTCTTTCAAGTCTACTTTTTTCCACAAGTTTTCATTAGATGTTTTCACCAGAATGGCATTGTTTATTACAATTTCTGAATCTATGTACAAAATTTGGAAACCTTTAGTCATTGCAAACGGCACCTTCTGTAACTTTTGTTCTCACAGGATCACCTCCTAGATGTGATCCTGTGAATCAAATTCCCACTGACTAGTCATATTTGTCCTTGTGGTGTAACTAGAAAATATCAAAATACAAATCCAAAACAGATCTGAAAATGCTTTTGATAATACTGCCTCTCACCATATATTTTTTCCTACATCAGAACCATAAGGAAAAATAAACAATCTAAAAACTACTGCTATAATACAGATATATAAATATGGCCTCATATAAAATTTAAATTCTCCTATATAGTTCCCTACTAACACTACTAGCAACAACTGTGTTAGGAAATTTTGAGGTTCCTAGCATACCTAGCATATAAGACCACATTAGGTAACACTGATGTTTAGTTTTCATTGCCTATATGCTATTTTATTTTATTAAAATATTTCATTTACAATGCATTCAGCAAAAAGGTTGTTCCTTGTTAAGACTCCAAGTAAAATTATTACCTTTATGCAGTTTCAAACAAATCAAAACTATTTCTTTTTCAGTTCCTGAGTTTTCAGTAACTTCTGTATTCTAGAATCCCATAACTGTAGATTTGAGGCTGCAAGAAATTCCTCTCTCTCTGTCTCTCTCTGAGACAGTTTAGTATTTAAATGTAATTATTTGGGTTATATACACAAACATTTGAATTTCCAAAATGTAGATGAGACTTCCATCACCAATTTTGAAACATTCACTTCAATTTTCATTTTTATTCAGTATGTAATATGCTTCAAAGAGCAATGTTTCTCCTTGAAAACATTTCCATATAGTATTCAAACTTATTTTAAATACATTTCCTATTTAAAATAATTTATATAATTCAAAACTGTGGTTACATAAACAATTTTTCAATTATTTACACAACTATTATCATTAAGACTACAATGGTAAAAAAGTGTCAGCATTTGAACCTGTTCTAGCCTACTCTATTTGTAGTCTTATCTTGCAATAAATTAAGAGAAAGCTAAAGTTTGGCTGAAATTCAAAAATTGTGAGTGTTCCTTAATCGCTCATGATGCTGTTTTGTGAAATTGTTTATACTTTAAAGTACTTCCAGTCCTGCACATAAATGATACCAAACACTTTAAATATTGTGAAACTTGATGCAGGCGTATCATCTAAAAACATTATAAATGAGAGTTATAGAGAGCAATATTATTTTTAAAAAAGTACCTGTAGAGACAACATTGGTCGCATGGTTAGAAACTGGCAGGCACTCTGCTGCGCTGTGATGCATTATCAGAGGCAGAGAGGGAGAAGAGTCAGAATTCAAGGGTACAAAGGTGTCAGATGAAGCAAACGCTTGGCAAGTCATACCCTCAAAGAGATGAAAGACAAAGAGCCACCTTCCCCTGTTTTCTAACAGAACAGATCCTGAGTGATTAACAGCAGCTCCAACTGTATTCCAGTCTTTGTACTTACATATACATATACAGAAGGGCTGCAGAGCACAGGGACGTCGTGTGCAGGTATTTATACCACCAGGAAATCCCTTTATCCATTTTAATGTTCTTTCCCCAGCAATATTGCTATACTGCTATAGAGCCTCCTTCCTTCCCACACAAACACAATACGCGTCCAATTAGCGTGGAGAGAAGAAGAGGGAAACCAGAGACATGATTTAACAGATATTTTCAATTAGGTCTTTTGTGAAGAACAATGACCAGAAAAGAAATAAATAAAAGTGCCGTCTCCAAAGTCGGTAGCAAAGAGACAGGTATGTTTAATACTAAGCAGGTTTCCACAGTTAACACCTGCCCCCAAAATCTCATCTAGGCAATTGTCTGGAAGACAACCTGGCTGAGAGCTCAATCAAAAGTCTGCAGAAGTCAAGAATCTATAGCAAAATACTCTGAATTAACCAAATTCCTAGCAGTTACACAGTCATCATTTGTCTTGTTAGGCTAGTATAAATAAGTGATGTGTAACACAGATCAACTGTATCCAAGAGGAAGCTGCTGAACAGACACTTTTACATAAGCAAGAACTGCTGAATGTTTATCTAAGATAAACTCTTGAAAGAGCCTACAGTGACACATGAAATTCACTCACAGTTACTATTATTAATTTATAGCACTGCAACATCTACAGTCTCATCCAGAAGGTCCTGGTCTTTATTGTTCCAGTGACTAAGTAAAACCAGAATCTTTTTACAAAGAATTAACTATCTAAATGATTTGCTGGCATGAAAATGGAATGACTTTGAAACAGTAAAAGCATACAGGTTAATCTGAAAATGATGAAAAATCACTAAGTACAT